CGTCATCGTTGTTTTTTTTGCACCAGAAAACAAAACGAAAAACATTGTTTATCGAAATGCAATATATTGATTTCTGTAACAATTCATTACAATGGAATACTTGAATTTTATTATCAATCTAGACTTTATTTGAAGGCGTTAAGTTCACCGGGTCAACTTAATTTTAAAAAAAAATTTAGGCAAAACAACGTTTGCCGGGTCAGCTAGTTATTATTAATTTTTATTACAGCTGTCAGTCTATTTATCAAAATATTTATAGTTTTTTTTTTTTTTTTAATTTTTCTATGGCATTTTTCGTATCGTCAAAACTATAATATTATGTATTGACTTTTAATTTATTTTATTATTACTGCTAAGTCAGTCTATTTAATAAAATATTATAATTATACATATATAATAAAAAGTTTTTTCACACACTTATTACTATATCTACAAAATTTTATCATTATTTGGTTTGGTRAATTAAAAATTGACAAGTCTAGACTTATATAGTATTATTCACAAATATATAAGCTCTTTTACATGAGATACGTTCTTAATGCAWATTTTTGATAAACTTCAAATTAAAAATGTTAACATKTAGTCTCTTAGTTGTCAAAATATTGATACTAAGGATAACAGACCTTAAAAATAGTATAAAAAAATTAAATTCCTAATTAAAATTATGCTGGGATCATTTTTTACAAATACCTTATCAATAAAATGTTCAAATCAACCCCAAACCCATCATGTACAACAATATCATACTATTCGTATTTAATATGCAAAATAAAATTACTCAAAAACTACTTATTTGAATTTGGAATCAGGTATTTCAATTTTTTTAGAAAAATGTTGTGATAAATAATTCAGTGTAGAAAATAGTGAGGGTGTTATCATTTGTAAAATAAAAATTTGTACCACCATAGGATACTCTTTAAGTAGTTCAAAAAATATGATGAATTTGAAAATATGGTTTTGAGTATATTTAAAATTGGATTTTTAATAACTGCATTATTGAAGAAAAAAATGAGAAGTGAGMATACTTAATGAATTACCCTGTATATTAACACTTTTGTTATTTCGTTAGAATATCGAATAGAAATTATTGAGCGTTTTATTTAATTACTATAAGTCAAAACTT